CACAAGACACCATTTCAGTTAGTGTTTACTACCCTCAGTAAAGACCAGCAATACAGCCTCCTCAAGAATGTTAAACAGCCCTGAGTGTGTCTTAAGTCTTGCCATTAAAAGAACCTCACAGTTGCCAGCAAAGAATAAAGGAAACCAGCATGTGTGTTGTGGGAGAGGCTCTGGTAGTTAGTTTGTAGGGAGGTTGTTTGTTCATTTGTTGGTTTTGAGACAGAGTCTTATGTTGTAGCCCTTGTTGGCCCTAAATTTGCTATGTAGACAAGGGTGGCCTCTAACACAGAGATCCATCTACTTCTGCCTTCCAAGTGCTAGGCTGAGCCAAGAGATAAGGAACAAACCAGAGCCCAGTGTTGAAAGTGATCTTGGTGGCTGCTAGCATCCATTGGCTAATAAGTGTAAAGTAAAACACACTTTGTAAGTGGGCTTTGCAAAGGCTGAGCTGTGGAAGTCAGAGTGCATGCAGTCAGAAATGGGCAAGTACAAGCTCACCAGTTTCAGACAACCAAAACTGTGTCACACAAGACCTGGGCTTATTGATAAGCTTCCATAAAAGAGGACTTACTCACCAGGTATGATGGGACATGCAAGTCACATAGCACTCAGAAGGGAATATGAGGGTATTGTGAGTTTGAAGCCAACACAAGCTTCATAGCAAATTGAAAACCAACCTAAACTTCATGACAAGAGACTTTCTCAAAGAGCCAAAGGCCGAGGTTGGGTGTGGTGATGCGTGCTTTAGTAATCACTTAGAAGATAGGGCAGGAAGAAGTCCAGTGTGGAGACAGCCTGGACTATATGTATAGTGAGTTCCAGGCCATTGGGATCTACATGGAGAGCTCTAGGCTAGCCTGGGCCCCTAACGTGACTCCATCTCAAAACACATTAAGTGAAAAAAAAAGTTTTATTTTTTAATAGCTGAGGTTGTAACTCAGTGGTAAAGCCCTTATCTTACATGCACAAAGCCCTGGACACATACATACACACATACATACATACACACACACACACACACACACACACATACATACATACATACACACACACACACACACACACACACACATACACACACACACACACACACACCATGTTGGAGAATAGAAAGGTTAGATTCCACCGTGAAAGCAGTTCTAAATAAAATAATTAATTATGAAATAACTTAATACAACCCACATTCTCCCTGGATGCCCCTGGGCATCAGGAAGACAAATTGGTACTATATGACTATATGCCATGGTTAGGACTTTTTAGTTTTCTGGGGTTTTTTGTTGTTTGTTTTTACTATATACTGCCATTGTCCAAAAAGATTTAGAAATGGATTATATAAATAATATGGTAGTGGGTATAGAAGAAGAGCTTTTGAAGAATTCAGCATGGCCTTCAGGATTACACAGTCTCTGTCATTTCTGAGACCTTCAGCTCTCGTCTCTCTGCCTTCCAAAATAAACGGTAGAGCTTTCTAAGCCTGGCATTCCATAGGGAGGATGCCATAAGCCCTTGTATGTATAAACAGTGCCCCACTGGCATGACTAAGGGATAGTGTTGACCTCACCAGCCTGACCCTTGGGTGGGAGACCATGGGAAACCCTGGCATTTTTAAATCTGTGCTGTGCTAGTTACCACAGAAAGCCAAAAAGGGAGGAGAATGAGAGAAAAAGAAAGTAGAAAGAGCAAGACAGCCTGTGTGGAGCTGCCTGATAGTAACGGAAATACTGTCAGAGGCACCTCCCCTCCTTGTCTCCCCAAGACTTTGGTGGACACTTTCTCTGTTGAACTCTGTCTTAGGACCTATCTGCCTGACAGACACACAACATGCTGCTGTCACAGGGAAAAGTTTAGAATTTCAGTGAGCAGACAGTGTTGAGGGAATGGAATTAGGGGTCATGAAGGAATTTATCCAACTTTCAGTTGGACAGTCCTCAGCAGAACTTGGAAATGCCATTGCATGTACTGGGTTGAGTATGTAAGGGTTGCAACTGCTGGCAACCCATGAAAACAGTAGCTTCACATGACTGTCCCTGACGTTGCTGACCCACGGAGCTGCACTTCTTGCAGGGGAGAGGATAGTTCTTTTACTAGGGCTGTGCTGAATATGGCCCTGCTGCCCAGAGATGTGGAGTGCATAGCAAGTGAGAGCACAGGCAGACAGGGAGCCCCCCCCCCTCAGTTTGTTGCTTCTGCTGGTTGCCAGGGTTTCTCAGCCTCCTCAGTCAGTCCCACAGACTTTCCTCTTTCATTAGTATCTTCTTCCCCCATGCCCACCCACCTCGCCCCAGCACTGGGACTCGGGTCCGCTTGACAACAGGTAATAGCAGGCGTTTCCTCGTCCTGTGACAGGACATCCTGGCGCCCCACAGTCTCTCCCTGGCTTTAAAACAGACCCAAGCACAGGAAAAAACCCAGCTCTAAAATTAGCAGTGTGACAGAAGAAAGGCACATAGCTGCTCTTGTACTGTTTGTCAATGACACAGTCTAAACAGGCCAAATGCATTTCCTTTTTGGGCAAAACAGACCTGTCAGGATGGTAGTCAGCTGGGAGGCACAGAAGCTTCCCAAAGTGCCCCAGGACCACCGCCCTCGTTGCTCTGGCGTTTTCCACTGGTCTCCACAGAGATGGTCTAGCCTCTCCAGAGGTTGTGCTGACTTTAAAATACTCAAAGTAGGGGTGTACTAACCCCAGCACCCTTCAGGAGGCACTGATACATCCCTTCCAAGACTGCCAAAGATAACTGAATTTCAGTTAATGGAAGTTTTCCTCACTTTGATTTTTTTCAATGAGTATTTGGAAGCAATGCTATTTTCTCATGAAACAGATGCTTACAGGAAGCCATTGTCAGTCCTGCCACCAGACCCTGGCAAGTTCTGATGGCTCCAAGTAAGAGTCTCTAGGATGTTTGAGGAAGAAAGGCAGCAGTTGGGTTTATTATCACACTGGAAGTAGTTCCACAGTCAAGAACTATTGCAGAAGCAAAATAAACAACAAGGAAAGAACTATTGTTCTTTTTCTTTTTTGCCACTAAGATGTCTTTTAATTTTTTTATTTGTTATTTTGAGGGGGTGGTGGTTTAGACAGGGTCTCACCATGTAACTCTGACTGGCCTGGACCTTGCTGTGTAGAACCAGGTGGTCTTGAACTCACAGGTGTCTGCCTACCTCTGTCTCTAGAATGCTGGGATTAAAGACATGCATTCCTAGCAAGGCATCTTTGTAAAACTCAGCTTTCCCTTTGATGTTTTCAAAACCTTCCTCTTCCTTCTTGAGAGGATGGGTTCAGATGGTGGAGGCCCTCACTTCAGTGGGAAGAGCTGTTTGTTTTGTGTCAGTAGAGGGCAAAGTGAAAAACTTACAAACATGTCCCATGTTGTACATTCAGTGGTGAAGGTGGGATCAGGGCAGGACTGACCCTCAGTCACATCTGTGTGTCTCATCTCAGTGTTCCTCATATCCAGTGGGAGTCACAGAAATGACCTTGTATTGCAGCTGGGTAAACCGCAGCTGGCTCAGGAGTGATTGGCTCACATTCACATTGGTAGAGCCAGGATACAACCCTGCCACTGAGTCCTGGGTTCTTCCACAGTCCTCCCCATTCTCACAAGCCCCCACCCCCACCCCTTCCTGCCTCTGACTGACCACAGGGAAGTGACTTTCCCAGGACCATTCCGCCACACTATTCTTAGCATTCAGGGTAGAAGGGTTTCCTGACTCCCACCAGGCGTTCTCTAGTACATAAATACCGGTCAACCTCATTCTGGAAACTGTTTCTCAAGAAAGATAAAGGCCCAGGATCCATTATTCCTAGAATGATTCACTTCGGACTTCCTGCCGTTTCCCCTGTTAGGAGTGTACACTGGATACAGGAATGGCTGGCATTCTAGACCAAAAAGGAAAGGTCGCCTAAGAGTGTCCACACCCTGCTCCTATGCACCTGTGGGCCTTGTTTCTGTCTGTAGACTGAATAGCTGACATCCTCAGTGAGCTGCAAGAGGCTTGAACTTCACCTAGTTGTTCATGATCCTAACAGCTCTGAGCCCACAGGACGGAGCAATGGAACTCCTGGTCATAGGGAGGTGAGTCACATTTGGACAGCTGCCATGACATCTACCACTAGTCTAAACCTTCCACAGTTCTGTGGATCATTTCTTGTGATAACACCACTCTTACCCTTTAAAAACAGCAAATTTTCAGCCAGGCATAGCGGTGCATGGAGGCAGGAGGCAGGGCGGGTGAATCTCTGTGAGTTTAAGACCAACCTCGCTTACCTAACGAGTTCCAGGCCAGCCAGGGCTATATAGTGAGATCTTGTCTCAAAGCAAGCAAGCAAACAAATAACAGCAAATTTGCTCCCACATTGTCTAATCTTGCACACAGTATCCCCACTAGACAGGCGGGTGGCTGATGCAGTACTGTGGCAGCTCTGCCCTCTGATGACCCAATGCCATGCAGGGCCAGGTTATGGTCTGCATCTGTGTTACAGCCAAGATAGGAGCATGTATGCATGGATGGGTGGGCATCTGTTGTCCACTCAGGCTATGTATAACATGTTTACATGAGCTTCTTTCTGGTGATGAGTAGTATGCTGAGCCTAGGTCAGGCCCCAGGAAGCCTCACTTACAAAAAAAACAAAAAAAACCTGCCTTCTGTTGTGGCCATCAGCTAGGTGGGCTGGGACAGGCTGAGGCTGTGTCCCACCTCTGTCCAGATAAACCAGCTCTTCACCATCTGCTTCTAACTGGCATCGGGAGCACACTGACATACAGAAAGACAAATATGGTAGAGATTCTATAGTCTTGGAAAAGCAGAACAACTTACTTCAGTATGCTAGAACCACCTTTAAAACAGAAATGGGCTTGACAAATAAAAATCCTGCAACCATACCTCAAGCCACCCAAGGCGGTGGGGTACTCCCCTTCCATGATATCAAAAAGGCCCAGCAAGTCTGCAAGCCTTATGGGGGCCACAGTGTGTCTAATCTGCCCACCCTGGGTACTTACTTGCCAGCTGGAATGCAGCGGCCATTGCCTCCTCCCAGCACTGAGATTCTGGTGACATCAGGGGCAGGCCCGACAGCCCAAGGACGAAGGTTAGCTGACCCACAGCAAGCGCAGCTGTGGCCACCAGGTTGCAAGCACGCATCATGTCAAACTGTACTGTGGGCCAAAAGGAGGGAAGGAAGGTGGTCAGTAAGGTGAGCCACTTAGGAAAGAGCCAAGTCAGATGGCCCTGGTCACACTCATCTTCAAAGACAGCCACTCCCTTTCTGGGCCTCTATTGAACCTTTCAAAAAGCAACACAAACAGCTAGTAACTTCTGTAAACAGAACTTTCTGGAAGCACCTCACCTACTCTGGAGTCTTCATGCTTTCCTGTCCTCTTCCCAGCCATTTAAGGACCCCCCTAGCTTGACTGCAATGGTCACATCCCACCTGGACTGGAATGCTGCTCTGTGATTTGAGTCTAAGTGTGTGTGGTACATGCATGTGTGTACAGACGGTACTGGGGAGTGGTAAACTTGCCAAGTATGTGCACATGGAGGCCAGAGATTAACATCAAGTATCTTGTCTCTTGCTCTCTAGCTTATTTTTTGAAATAGGGTCTCATTGCTTCTATATCTCATCATTTTGGCTAGACTGGCTGGCCACTGAACTCCTGGGATCCTCCTGTCTCTGCCTTCCCAGCACTGGGGTTACAGGCACACTCCACTACACACAGGTTTATTGTAAGTGCCAAAGATGCAAATTCTGATCTTGCACAGCCAACTGTTTACTCACTGAGCCATCACCCTATCCCCTGGTGTCCCCTTTTTCACTCAGGTGGACTAGAAGGGAAGTCCCGGCAACAGCAGAGGGTTTCTTGCTTTGGATTGAGCCTATGGGTTCTCAGCTGCTGTCCCCACTTACTGTCCAGATACACAAAAACTCAACATTGGTTTTGGTTTTAATTTGGGGGTTTTTGTTTTTGTGGAGTCGTTGTTATTATTGTTGTTTTTGAGGCAGGGTCTTTCTACATAGCCTTGGTTGTCCTGGGAATTCATTCTGTAGACCAGGCTGGCCTCTAACTCACAGATTCCCCCTCCTCTGCCTTACAAGTGCTGGATTAAAGACATGGGGTACCACACCCAGTTTAAAACTCAGCATTGTTACCTCTCCTTCCTATAGATAAAAGACTTGAGCCTATAACATTAAGTGTCATTACTAGGCCTCTACCAGCAAAGGACAGAGCAGGAACCAGACTGGGGTCTGCTGAACTTAGGCACCCACCCTACATGCCTCTGAGGGCCATTCTACCAGCAGCTAGAGTGGTGCTCCAACCTTTGTGCTTGCCTTCCCCACCCCCGCTCTCTCTATACATTTTTGTGGTTGTTTTGGGGACAGGGTTTCTCTATGTAGTCCTGGCTATCCTGGAATTTGCTCTGTAGATCAGGCTGGCCTTAAACTTAGAGATCCACCTGCCTCTGCCTCCTGAGTGCTGAGGTTAAAGGTGTGTGTCACCATGGTCAGCTTGCCTCCCCTTCTTTTGCTCCATGCCCCCACACCCTGGTCTGAGGAGATGGACAAGGCAGAGTGTGGTTGATGAACTGTAGAGGGAGAGGGCATCTGGTCCAAATTAAATGCCATGCCAAAGCCCATACTGTGAGATGGTGGCACACCAGCACACTGACCCAGGTTGCTCCCGAGGGCAACAGCAGATACATCACTGGAGACTGCTAGGAAGCCGTGAATGGACATAGGAGAGGCATGCCATGTGCTCCCTTGTCTTGTGGTCTAGCAGTGGTTAGGGAGCTCTGATCCATAAACTTGTTGCAGATAAGTCAGTGCTCAGCTCAAAGCAGGCCATGGAGACTGGAGGTGCTATTCTCCCCAGATTTGAAAGACTGATTTTCAGAATTGGGTCACAATAAATGTTGTCACAAGAGATACAAGAGCGGAACATGAAAAAGGCATTTTGATGCCGGGCGGTGGTGGCGCATGCCTTTAATCCCAGCACTCGGGAGGCAGAGGTAGACAGATCTCTGTGAGTTCGAGGCTGGGCTGGACCGATAGCCTCCAAAACAATACAGAGAAACCCTGTCTCGTAAAACAAAAAAAAAGAAAAAAGAAAAAGGCATTTTGAGATCCCTGAAGAACCTGTACTCCAGGGCTACTGATGTATTGTCTTCCTCTGTGGACAAGGAAGGCATGGAGTCTGGCCATCTCATGCACAAGATGGGTGGCCTCTTTTGTGTGAACCAGCAAGTAAGGCCCTGCTTATAAAGACCTACAGATCTTCTGTCCCACTCCTCACAAAGCACTGAGAGTCCTTCCTCAGACCATGATGGCAATTCAAGAGAAGCCATCTTGTCACATGAACTGAACATAGACTTGCTCTTGGGGTGCTGTGACATGTGACTGCCATTCTGTAAAGGCCCTGTGTGCCACACCCCAGCTACATGCTGGATGGTGTCTGATTCCAGCTCCCTTCAGGGTCATGTTTATATTCAGGCTATGGAGTAAGTTCCAGGACAGCCAGGGCTACATAGAGGGGTTTTGTGACACTTCCTGCCACCAAGGGTCAGTCTGTCCGGCCCATTGTGTTTTAAGCTACTTCCTGTGCAGAGAACTCTCCTGTCATTTAGAACGTGGAGACCCCTTCTAGATCTCAGGTCTTTCCAGCTTGCCACCTCCAATGTGGGGGCAGCACAAGCAGGTGTAAAACCAGTGAACCTTGTGTACCAGCGTATATGAAGAGTTGTGTGGATGTACAAGCTCTTAAGCTTACCAGGCAATCCAAACAGCCCGAGCATCTGCTGGCCCACCAGCACGAGGTGCGACTAGATCAATGGCAGTTGCCACTCACTGGATCCTTCTTTCCACATTGAGCATCCAAGCAACTGCTTCTTTCTTGGTTTACTCTCAGCAAAGCTAGCAGCCTCCAGTGGGCCCTGCCTTAACCAGAACCCAGATCACTGAAGACCCTAATGCAGCAGGGTGATGCTTCAGAGGGGCATGAGGTAGGGTCTGGTGAGATTGACCAGCAGGTGAAACACTGGCCACAAAAGCCTGACAACCTGACTTTGATTTCCAGAACCTACATAAAGGTGGAAGAAGAGAACCAAATAAAAAAAGCTGGACTCTGACCTTCAGACATGCACCATGGCATGCATGTGTGTGCATGCTAATAAAAATAAACCTAAGGAGAGGGAACAGGGGTTGATGTGTAAAATAAGATTGTTTCTAATTTAATTTTTAAAAATTTTTAAAAAGTAAACCTAAGAAATTTAATACAAGGGCAAGAGATGAACTAGGGTCTCGCAGTCTTTTTTTGGGGGAGGGGGCAGTTTCGAGACAGGGTTTCTCTGTGTAACATTCCTAGCCGTCCTGGAACCAGATCTGTTGACCGGGCTGGCTTCGAACTCACAGATCGACCTGACTCTACCTCCTGATTGCTGGGACTAAAGGGGTCCAGCACCAATACCGCTTGGCAGGTCTGGCAGTCTTAAGACTCATGGTAGGAAACAGTCAAGCAGGAATATCCCTCAAGGTATAGGCACAGCTTAAAATAGGCGTGTGTGATCTTGGACTCTAGAAAGATGAGGAGGGAGGAAATGTTCCTCGTACAGAATGGTTTGATTTTTTTGAGGCCCAGGGAGTGTGGTTTCAGGGGCTAACGGCTCTCACCTCCCACAGCAGAGTAAGGCTTTGTAACAGGCAGGTAGTGGCTGGAGTTCAGACCAGTGGCCAATTCTTTTGATTTGCTGACTGCACCTCCCTCCTTTACAGATAGCCTGATAATGACCACACACTACAGGGGCTCAGCCCAATTCTGTGTGCTCCTGCAGGGTACCCTGCCCATTGGGCAGGCTCTACGCTCCAGAAGGCTCCCTCTGTAATCTGAAAAAGCATTCCTGATGACCTGTGCCAACATCATTCTTCACAATGCTCTGCCATCTGTACACTGGGCTTCTGGTGTTGCTGATTTATTTTGTGTGCATCTGTGTGTGTATGCATGTATATATGTATGTATGGGGTGTGCACATGTTCACACATGTGTTGGGGCATGTGGGTGCAATTGTATTTGTATGTACATGTGTATGGAGACCAGAGGTTGATCACTTTACAGCTTATATACTGAGGTCTCTTCACTTGAACCAGGAGCTCATGTAGTTCTCCAGTTTACTCCTCTGTCTCTGCACCCTGGGCATTTGAATTAGAGGGGGGCCCTGACACCCACCTGGTATTTCCATGGGTTCTGGAACTGAACTCTGGTCTTCATGCCTTCACCTTCACAGTAGGTACTTTGCCCTCGGGCCTGCTCCCTAACTATTGTGTGGTTATTTTTACCCTACATATCAGGACTTCTTTTTTAATTTATTATTTTATTATGTAAGTATCTGCCTGCATGTATATCTGTGTACCATGTATGTGCCTGGTACCCACAGAGGTCAGAAGAGGGCATGGGACTCTCCTGGTACTGAGTTACAGGTGGTGTGAGCCACCATATGAGGGAATATGTGCTCTTTTTTTTAAAGATTTATTTATGCCGGGCATTGGTGGCGCACGCCTTTAATTCCAGCACTCGGGAGGCAGAGGCAGGTGGATCTCTGTGAGTTCGAGGCCAGCCTGGTCTACAGAGTGAGTTCCAGGACAGCCTCCAAAACAATACAGAGAAACCCTGTCTCGAAAAACCAAAAAAAAAAAAAAAAGATTTATTTATTATGTATTTAGTGTTTTGTCTGCATGTATGCCTGCAGGCCAGAAGAGGGCACCAGATCTCATTATAGATGATTGTAAGCCACCATGTGGTTGCTGGGAATTGAACTCAGGTCCTATGAAGCAGCAGCCAGTGGTCTTAAGCTCTGAGCCATCTCTCCAGCCCAAGGGAGCTTGTGCTCTTAACCACTGAGCACTTCCCCACCCCAAAGGGCTTCTCCCACTCACAAGCCCTGTCTTCATTTTTGTTTTGTTTTGTTTTTCGAGACAAGGTTTCTCTGTGTAACAGTCCTGGCTGTCCTGGAACTCACTCTGTAGACCAGGCTAGCCTCGAACTCACAGAGATACACCTGCCTCTGCCTCCCGAGTGCTGGGATTGCAGGTGTGAGCCACCATGCTTAGCCTCACAACACTTTTTTTTGTCTAAGAAATACATATCTCAGGTATATAGGTAGCTAAAAT